AGGCCGTTTCTGTGCTATGATTGGGTCTGAAACCAGACTGATATAGCTCGTTAGCATTATACCTTATGGCCACAGCTCCGGCCAGCCGCCACCACAATGGAGGCGCGGAACATGGCCCATTCGGACTCAATGTCCCCCACCTCCCTCGGGACATGGGAGAAGTTCTGCCGGAGGTAGGAGTTGAAACTCCTCCTGACAGGGGATTCCGCCAGATGTTCCCAGCAGACCCTCACTACACGCTTGGGCCTGCCAGGTCTGGCCAGCTTCCTCCCGTACCAGCGGTGCCAACCCACCACCAGGTAGTGATCGGTTGACAGCTCCGCCCCTCTCTTCACCTGAGTGTCCAAGATATGTGGCCGCAAGTCCGATGACACGATTACAAAGTCGATCATCGAACTGCGGCCTAGGGTGTCCTGGTGCCAAGTGCACATATAAACACCCTTATGCCTGAACATGGTGTTCATTATGGACAATCCGTGACGAGCACAGAAGTCCAACAACAAAGCACCGCTCAGGTTCAGGTCGGGGGGGCCGTTCCTCCCAATCACGCCTCTCCAGGTCTCACTGTCATTCCCCACATGAGCATTGAAGTCCCCCAGCAGAACAAGAGAGTCCCCAGAAGGAGTGCTCTCCAACACCCCTTCCAGGGACTCTAAAAAGGGTGGGTATTCTGAACTGCCGATGGCGCATAAGCGCAAACAACAGTCAGGACCCGTCCCCCCACCCGAAGGCGAAGGGAGGCTACCCTCTCGTCCACTGCGGTAAACCCTAATGTACAGGTGCCCAGCCAGGGGGCAATAAGTATGCCCACCTTCGCTCGGGCCTCTCCCCGCAGGCTACTGTAATACATTAAAATGTTTACTGTATTCTATGTTCTTTACTGTATCAGTTGCATATTTACAGTCCATTTACCTTTATGGTTTATTTTACTACAGTACATTGAGGAATGAAAATTTGATAAATTTATACATGGGTTGTGTCTTTATTTTGTGTTCATCGTTTAAAGATGTTGTTCCATTGGTTATTGCAGTAGCAGGTTTTTACGGTAGTGTTTTGAATTGATCTCTGCTGGGGTGCAGTGGCTACTTCATAGTGTGTGTATTTGATAGCTTTTGTGTAATGCCCGAAGGCAAAGTTTGGGTTAGATGCAAGATTAGTTTTGAGTAGAGTTTGGTTTTGACATGAAAGTTTGAAAATTGTGAAGATTAATGTGCAATTATGCATTTGTGTTTAAGAAAAACCGCAATATCACACATTGCCCAGCCGCATATGCTCTAGCCATTATCCGAATTCTGTACAAAATATGACGCCTTGCATCCTGATGATGTCATTCAGTACCAGTACCAGTTTTATGCCAGTGGAAAACCAGCACAAGAAGTACCATTATTTTTGGTGTATTGGAAAAGCACCCCACGTGGTATTTAGGGAACCGCACTTGGGGTTAGAAGTTAATCTAAAAGGAAGATTCACATCTGAGCAGTTCCTTTATCAATCAATGCTGGGCATAAGAAAGGTTCAGCTTTAACAAACTGACAATCCGGCACATCTTCATACTGTGGAAAGTCTTACTTTAATTTAAAGTATTTAAATTATTAAATACACAGAAATACATCCCAAGCCTTACTTGTGACGACTCACAAATGCAATGGCTGTTTCATGACAACGGAGACGCTGAATGCAAATATCTATAAATGGCATACTGATCAACAACACTACAGTGTGGCCATTTCATATTCAGCAGAACAGATCCACTTTAAGGGTAAGACGAGCATCACCTTCTTGAGGATGTTGTGGTACATCTCCTGAAAGACATCGTCCAAAGTCAGGCTGAAGGTGTCCACGCTTGTGATCCGCAAGAGCTGCCCAGAACTAATGTGCTCCAGGAACTTCCAGACAGACATGCCTTCCTGCAGGGAAGGATCATGGGATAGGAGATCCTCCAGCAGTCTGCCATCCCAGTCCTGGTTCATAGCTGTGGAGATCTTCTTCATCAGGTACTCCACCTATTTGAAGTGCACAGATGGGGCTTGAGACAAAGGTAGCTGAAACCTCTTAAAATACAGCTACAAAACTACTGTGACATTTCTAGGGACATTCTAGAGACAGGAATGCTACATGAGAAAGACAGTGAGCCTGTACTATAAGCAGCTTGCAGACACAGCTGGTATCTTCTTTGTGAGGGGACCAAGGCAGAACGTCAAGATAAGAAGTTTCCAGACAAAATGTCCAGGAGTTTTATCTGGACTGATGTAAGCCTCGATTCTCAGAGGCTTCCTGATGACATGTCGAAACACCTAATATGCAGTCAATGCAAACATATTCAGACAACACTGACAGCAATCAAATAAGGAAAAAGCTTATAAAACCACAAAAGGATACAGATAGACTGCATAATGCACTGTCTCTTGCATAGTTTTTGTTTTTACAGCCCCCTGTCAAATTCAATGCTATAGAGAATGCTATATATTTGCATTGACTTGAGTGAATGATGCTAAAGTGCAGTATTGACTTTGTACTTTGAACATCACCATGGTACCTATCAGCCTCATTCTCCACCGTCTCCATGGCAATATAAGATATAATCTGTAGATATGACACAACTGCTGAAACCAACAGGAAGTTGCTGCTGCCTTGCAGGAAGTAGCTAGACGAGGTGAACCTGACAGAACACTGAGCTAGAACCGAGCAGTAATGAGGAGGAACCTCACAGCTGTGAGGAGGAACCCAACAAATGTGAGCAAGACCCCAGCAGCTGTGAGGAGGAAATCCACAGCTGTGAGGAAGAGCCCCGCAGCTGTGAGGAGGACCCCACAACTGTGAGCAGGAACCTCACGGCTGTGAAGGGGAACCCAGCAGCTGCGAAAAGGAACCCAGCAGCTGTGAGCAGGAACCCAGCAGCTGTGAGGAGGAACCCAGCAGCTTCCTTCTATGCTGCACTTCTGGGGAAGTCTAATTCAGAATAATCCACCCATACATACTTAATAATCCCTTATCCACTGCTTGAGAAAAATAATCCTTTTCAGTATCTGTGGGTCTCTTGTTTCAGGTTTGGTTTCCTTACTGCAGAGCAAAGGGCTGGTGGCAAACCTTCGCTCTGCTGGAGAAGCTCTGTCAAAACTAGTTGCTGGTGGTAATGATGACACCCACCATGATCTGGATTACACTGCTTTACACTGGATTCATATGGAAGCCTTCCAAATGATATAGACCAGTTGATCAACAACAATTTCTACTTCACTGTTAAATCAAACATTTTTTTAATTTGTAGTCTAGGCAGGAAACCTATTCACTCTGCCATAGGGTGGCCCATGGGCTCAGTGCTAGGCCCGCTGACTCAAACCTCCAGCATTGTGGGTACCAATCCCATAGCCTCAGGTGTAGCACAGCTCCAGGCCCTTCTGTGACCCCAGTCAGGATAAGAGAACAGATAACCCTGGTTCACATAGCAGGCCATACCCCAAACCGCACTTCTGTGATAGAATAGCTGTAGGCAATCTGAACCACACTGAAATTTAAAGAACATATAAAAATTAGCACGTGGTCTATGAAACATAATGAGAATTCTTTCCATGCTGGGTACTGTGGATGTCAAAATGTTTCTCTCATCAGTGCCGTACTCGAACACATTTGCAGACAGCTAAGCCCCCCCCCTCCCCATGCACCTCAGCTGGGATCATGATCAGGGGGTAGCGATCTTCCGACAGCAGGTTGAAGAGACAGAAGAGCTTGAAGCTGTCCTTCCGTGAGCACACAGTGTCCTTCACCCCCGGCCCAAGGTTCTTCTTCACCGTCATCATCCAGCACAGGTCATCTAACATCTCCTTGTCAAAGGTTCCCTCTTTTGCCTGACAAAACAAGAAGTTTATGACCAACCATCAGACAAACCTCCGGAGTCTTGGTGAGCTTGTATATAAGTAAGGTGGACTGGGGGTGCAGCAAGTGCTCCTTAGACATTAACCAGAACAATGTACTTAATTATCTCTTTTGCAGTGCATACACCATGCCAACTAGTGTTTTATTATGTTTGTTATGTGCTATGCCAGAAACTTAGAGGTACCAGCCATTATTTTCTAAGCACATAGCAGCTATCTCCTGGACTTGTGGATTCTTGCTCTATAATGGCAAAAAGATCCGGCCATACTCGTCAGAAAATGCTGCTCAGCGTCTAGTCTAGGCACTTGTCACCTTGTGACTTAACTACCTCAACTTGTTACTAACATAGGGTGACCAGATAATCCATGTCAGGGAGGACACCCTGAGCTAGGACAGGAATTGTAAATTACCATTTCAATTAAACGGACCTGGATTTCACTTGAGCACTCAGCTCTTGCTGTGTGCTGATTGGTCAGTCTCCTATAATCATGCATGTGTCACTAATGCTAATGTGAAACAGCTGGATGAATCTTTCAGTCAAGGAAACAAACCAGTCAAAGCACAAGAAAAGCTAAACTATTTAGCCGAGCACAGGAGCCTTTCAATTAGATAGTAGTTTATAAAACCCGAAGTAACTCAACGTGTCCTCCCTGACATGGATTGTCTACCACCCTAGTTACTAACAGGGCTGCCAGCTTGTGCCGTCAAACCGCTGCAGGTGATTCAAAAAGCAGCAACATGTCTGGTATTCAATCGGCCAAAATGCTTTCTTGTCCCACCCTTCTTTGACTCTCTTTATTTAGGCACTATGTTGACTTGCTCATCAAGACTTACATCCTATGTCGCCCTCATTAGTCAGCAAGCTAATGGCATCTGGAGATACAAAATAAATTGAGCTCTAGATGTTTCTCCTGTGTGGTTCCTTGATGGAAAGAGCTATCAACAGCGAGTCATCAGATTCCTTTTCAACCTTCAAGAAATACCTCAAGACCCATCTTTTATAAGAATACCTCAACCATTGACCTGCTCTGTCTTGCTGTGTGATACCTCAGCTATGGATTCTTGACAATAATGGATGCTATTGTATTTTTTCTCATGGTGTCTTTAAGTTGAATATCTCTTATTTGAGTTTTGAAATATTTTTGTGTGACACTGCATCACTTTAATGCTAAATTACACCAAGTAAATAAGCCACTAAGCTTTTGTGCCTATGATGAGAAGGTCACCGGTTTGAGCCCAGCTTCGGCAGAATAGCCACATGTCTGTGGGCCCTTGAGCGAGGCCCTTAAGCCCCAGGTCCATGGGTACCGCTGCAGGTGGCTGCCCTGAACTGCCAAGCTGCAGTATTTTTTGTATTTGCCCTACTCTGTTTCAAAATTCTATATGCTAATATAACAGTATTTGGAACACATGGTATATAGGACACTATTTCATTAACTATACACCTAATGGAAAGAAATATACAAAGTAGCCTGGCCTCACATTTGGAGACAGTAGACCACAGTTCAGGAAGCTGAAAGATCTGACATTATACTGGCACTACAGATAACATAGGAAGTACATCACTACGGTCTGAAAAGTCTGCTGGCCTAAATATGGAAAATCTACAGCTGATCCTAGTGACTGTCAGCATTCTGCAGTGGTAACAGCGATGTCTCACTGTAGTGCCAGGGAAGATGCAGACATCATTACGTCATCAATGCTCTCACTTGTCCTTACATTCTAGTTCTACTTTTAAATGTTTTAATCAAACAATCAGAGATCAAAGGTCATGGGGGAAAACACAAAAACCAGCTCCTCCTACGTGTTTTCTGCTCACCAAGCAAGGTCACTTCCTGTAGCGTATCCAAAGACTTGTAGAGAACCATCTTGTATCTGCTCAATACACTCAGCACTCAGCTACCTTTCATTTAAGGACCACAGGAGAGGCCACTGCCCTGAAACGTTAACTCTTCAAAAGATTTAGCACCGTTTTAACATAATTAACTGGTGTTAATCACAATGTGTAAGGAAAATCTGCTACCAAACTCTTCAAAGACTACAATGCAAACTGTTATATGCCCTGTTGTTTTTCGAGCCTGAATGTGGACTTCATGTTTGCGTGGGCGGTCCGATGCTAATGCTACACAAAAGTCAACAGGCGGTACCTTGGCCAGGATGTAGTTGTTGAGGTAGGGCATGTAGCCGTGGTTGGATACCGGCCCCTCATCGTCATCACGAAAGTGCTCCTCCAGTGCCACAGGATCATGCGGGATATTCAAGGCCGTGTAAAGGTTGTGAGAAAGCACCTGGAGAGGGTTCGAGAGATGACATCACCATGTAATTAATGTCATTATTTGGGTCTATTGTGTGGCCAAGGACAGCCCTCAGACTACTATACAAATAATTAACTATACAATTATTCCCATTGTAACACTGCACAACACATAATTACAGCCATTGTGAACGAACTGTCAAGATTATAACAGAATGATTATTTTCCATTCCTACTACAGAGGAGCAAAAATGCCATATTTGTTTCACACTGATAAGATATTGAGAGATATTGATTGATAAGATAAAATTGTTTATGCCAAATACTTCATTTGAGTTCAACACTAGTACTCAACTGAAAATTTCAGTGCATTCCTGCAGAAAATGGTAATCCTGCACACAAAGAACAAAGAGCTGTTCTTTGAAATGATTTTAAAAAGCAGAGTAGAAGCAGTTTTCCCTTCCCAAAAACAGTACTTGACAGCTGTGTACAGGACAAAACTGCTATACTCTCATACCAGAATCATTTAAGGTGCTTTTCCACCACACCAGGTATCATACTTTTGATATGGTATTTTCAATATTTTCTCTTTTCCATTGACTTCTGGTCGAGTACCAGTACCAAAGATTCCAGTACCTAAAGTGCCAAAACAGCTGGGGTACTTTTTTGGTACTTCAGTACTTTGGGGAGGGACTTGAATCGTTTTCTTTGTCAATTGGTTATGCAAATAGCCTGTCTCTGAAACACAGTACAAACGCCTCCTTAAAAATAGTTGCCAACTCAGAAAACAATAAACAAAGTAAAAAAATTAAAGTAATATTAATGGATGCATGGCCAAATGAAAATGTACCCTATCAATTCCTTTGCAATATCTTGGCAAATGTGCAATTACCAACCTACCCAATAGTTTCACTTATTCTTATTGACTAAAGCCCTTCCTCCTTTATTTATTATATTTATGATGCTCTTGCATATACCCCCCACAATGTTTCTTGACCTATACATTGTGTATATTGTGTTTTTATATCTTGTACTGACACTGTCACTTTTCTTGCATCTTTGTGGTCTTGCCAGCTAATTTCGTTGTCCAAGCAACTGTACAATGACAATAAAAAGTCTTGAAGTCTCATTTAAACACTGTGATTTCAAAGCATAATCAGGAAGCCAGTCTATTTCCTGGGCCCTGACATTCAGGATATTTCCATGGCACAGATGCCACATGTCTTAGACAGAAAGCTAAAGTACCCAGAGGAAACACAAGGATACACTGTAATAAACAAGAAAAGCAGAAATTCTTCACTTTACGATCTGAAGCCAGAGTGACACCAACCACAACAGAGGTGTGAGATACCGAAATAGCTCACAGAGCTACGTCGCCTCTTTGGGCCCATGTTCTGAAAGGCAGATTAACCAGCGTCAATACTACCTACATGTCCCATGAGTAATGGAAACGGTTAGAGTATTTACGTTGTGGTCCAATTAAGTAATAATGAGTCCTTCTTGTTCAGTAGAGTTATTGTTAAAAAAATTAAGCTAAGGAGTAACTACAGCATAAGTCACAGTCTCCATTAAACTGCCTTCACTGGCAAGCCACACACACCTATGGCAACATCCTATTTAAGCCATTATTCAAATATTCTAGTGCAAGTACTTTGTAAATAAAAAACTAACACTGAATTGCTCTGTCTGGAGTCATTATTCACCTAAGCTACGATCTCTAACGAAAATGATCCGGCACCACGTCATACAGTAAAATGGTGTGTTCGAGAACCTGCGCCTGTGCGCTGGTCAAATCCCAGGGTCCCCAGAGCGATTTCTCCATTGGGGTTTTGGACAAGGCCCTTAACCTGCACTTGCATCAAGTCCTATCTTATCTTTCATTCTGTAAAATAAGTAAAACGCGAACATTTTGAAAATTGGAGGGAAAATCGGACTGTTGATCTAACAGTTCGATTTGAAAGGTTTAATATAGTAAGAGCTTAGTATGCCTAATAATAAAATATTTCTTACAAGGAACTGGCATTTTTTAGCAAACATGTTCTGTTGAAATACTTAGGAATGTAACACGTGTTTTCGGGAAGTCGCACGACACACGGCCCTCTCGAAAGATGTGAACCGCAGCTCCTACAGGGAACAAGTCCCAGCAAGAGACGCCTTCTGCAGCCTGCAACTAAAGATGCTGGGCGAGACGTGCCGCGACTCGAAAGCGCCGTGAGAAAGGCAAGACCGACGAATCTGCGTCAGCCAGGATTGCTCATGCATTTTTTCAGTTTTTACTCCTGAATTTAACTACAACTGCAAAGCAAGTAGCGCACTAGATGTCTGGACTGGTTCATATTCACACATGCAGGCCCCTTTCGCATTAAACTTTGAGGCTTGTTGACACACTGAACAACATTCCTTTGCACTGCAGAGAAATCTGCGACCAACATTAGATATCCTTTGAGAAGCTGCAGACACAAAAGCAATCTGGTTACAGTCTATTTAATTTTGTTTTCTTAATTTTAGATGTACACATGTGTAAAGTTTCAGGTTTCATTTACCAAGTTACATATTGTGGTGCGTGACCACATATATTTAGATCGAGTTAAAATACGTGATGATAAGATCATAATATGAAAAAGTCCCCGTCCTCACATGAAGGAAAAGAAGTTATAACAGATGCATAGAAAAGTACGTGTTCTAACGACATGGACAAGATCTGCAGTAGTCATTAAGGTAAAGTTGACTACGTCTATTAAAAGTATTCGAAAACTCACTTCCTGTAGGAGAAACAATACGAGAAGAGTACCTTTAATTGTGACTTGGACACTTTGCCGCTATGCTCCGCATCCAGCGAGGTAAATGCATACCAGATGGATTTGAGAAGCTCCGATCGGAGGTCCATTTCGCAGTAACATTGACTGACGCTGGTCAGACGCAGCGCCGCGCGGAAGCAAGTCGGTTAAAGCTGCGAGAAAGAAAGAATGCGGCTCCAGCAGAAGAGGGAGTGGGTGGAGATGGAACCAGATCAGAAGATGTATCGGAACGGAGGGGAAACGGGGTACTGTCGTGTATAAACTAGTTAGATGATACAATAAGCGATAACAAACCGCAAACACACACACAAATATATATATATATATATGATGGCAATCCCAATTGAGGGCTCAGTACAAATTCCTCAAGAAAAGAACTGGAGTGCAAGTCGAGCATCGATAGTTTTTATTGCTCGAAAGGGTTACACAAGTACAACGAAATTTTATTAGTAGCAGCTTCTGTAACAGAAATAACTTACGTGCCTTTATACTTACATTTATATGACACAACAATCAAACACAGTGTCTCAACTGGTTTTGCCTTAAGATCCACATTATTTCATTATTACTTGGCCAGTAGCGGCGACGGATAAAAGTTGTCGATGGGAGACCCACCGGTTGAGAAACATTGCCACACAGGATTTCCTTAGAGAAGAAAAATATCTGTCATTAAGTTTAAATAACATTTGTTTCTGTAAGGCAACGTGCATGGAAGCACGTTATTATTACTGCAAGTCGATGTCTTGAAGTATACCTTGTTCTGATTAGGCTTAACTGAACAAATGAAGGCAAAATAGAAACCCTTACCGAATAATACAATTTTCACCCAAGTGGGTAAACATGGGGCAAAATGTGTGAGGAACAAAATCAGCAAATAATATTTTATTGCAGCTACAGTATGGGTGAACAGCACGATTATACTGTGCAGCTCTTGTGAGCCATTGAATCTGTAGAATTATTTTTACATAATAATTGATAGTCTCCAAGAAATTGATTTGGCTACATTATCAAAGGTAACGTACTGACAGAACATAAAGAACATAATCTAATTTCTCATTAAATAGGTCATAAGATTTTGCAAGTAATTTATTGCTAATTTAGACAACTGTAAAATTAAGAGAAATAGAAATTCAGTATGTTGCACATCTGTTAATTTGTTTTGGTGCTTTCTGGGTGCCAGGAAAGCATGGCTGCATGACCCAGTACATACTGCAGGAGGTGCTGCAGGAACACAGGGTCCTGAGGGCTGCTACTGTGTGCTATCGAGACCTTGTTTGAATGCAGCAAGATACTTTGTACAGAATGAAATCTGGTCTCCACTCCAATTTGTGATTTTTAAAGACAGGATATCAGGGTGCAGGCATGGCTGAACTCTGGAGGGGAGACGTGACGTCTCGCAGTTTGCAAACGATGTGCTTTGGGCCTCATCCAGCTCAGACTCCCTGCATACACATAAGGATTCGAGCAGCTGGAATGAGAATGGAATGGCTGCATTGGCATATCAGGTGTTTTCCTGCTACCAATTGGTAGAGCTGTCACCATCTCACATTTTCACTACATGATCATTGTGGCCAAAAGAATTCATGATAACTCTATAATAACACCATGCAGGGCTCTATTACAGGGATTTTGGTGTATTTATGCCCAGAAAAATCTGTCTAAATAGCTTTTCAGTACTAAACAGATACTTACACCCACAATTTCATAAGCAGATTAGTTATACACCTAAATATTGAGAGGTATATTGTGATGCCCAAAAATTTGTATTCTGTATACACTGGAAAGACATTTAGCAAAACCAGTTCTATCCAGGTTGATCGTTAGACATAATTAGCAGTACTAGTTGATAACAATCCATGTCATGGTGTTTTGCACAAACACCACATTAATATGTCCACAGATAGCGGCTGGACAGCACTGTGTGGACAACCAATTCAATGAGAAACAAGTAAGACGCAAGTGCTAATATACAGTATATAACCACAGCTTTAAGTTCTGTTGATGAAGGGCACAGCCATCTTGAATTTTGAGGTCGGGGTTTTAGAGGTTCCTCCGACGTTTCTGAGTCAGAACTCCAACTTCAGGGGATGTTCCAGTTGAAAGTTCCGCCTATGAACTAGGAAATTCCAATTTCCCAGTTCAAATAGAACTCAGCATATGTTGTCAGAAAAAGCTGATGGTTTATTGCTCAATCTACACTGCTACCCTCACCCGTGGTCAAGAGCTGTGAGTAGTGACCAAAACAGGCCTGGGGTAAAAATGGATAACATGGGGTTTCTCCGCTGGGTTTCCAGGAGACAGGGTGAGACATTCAGAGACTTTAACATTCAATACCTTTATTTTATGGAAAGGAGGGGGGAAAAAAGCAGCAGCAGAAAAGTGACAAGATTCTAGTGCTTGTAGAACAGAGTTAAAAAGTTAAAACCACCTGCCAGCATTGGCTACCCCTGCAGCTCAGTCACTCAGCTCCTCCTCATCACTGAAGTAAGCACTCTTTTTGATCCTTGGCTTCCTGGAATCCTCGGACGTGGAGGCATGGCTCGCACCCTGCGCTGTCTGCTTGCGTCGCAGCTCCTCCTCTTCAATTCGTGCTTGCTGTGGGCATTTTTCGTTAAAACATAGTAATACAGAATGTATAAATATGTGAAGGATGGACAGAAAGGTGTCATAAATGCTTATGAAAGCTTTAAGCCTGAAAAGTTAAAGCATGAACCACTATCCAGCTTAAATGGTCTAGTGACCATTTAACCTTGTAATTTGCTTGGATAAACAAACACGAAAGGTTATTTTTTTTTTTTTTAGCATTTTTTTTTATACATGAACCTGAACACACTCTGGAAAAACACACTTCTTTTAGACATGACAGAGTCTAGACTTTTGCTTCACCTGGAAGGCGATTGCTTGACTCAGGCTGTCGAGAGCAGGATCTTCCCCTTCCTCTTCACTACCCTCATCTTCCCTGAAAAGGACATGGAGGTGAACATTTATTGTATCCATTTTAAGTAAAGAGAGGTGATGCTACGATTATATAATTCCTTGGTAAGACCCCACCTAGAATATTGTGTGCAGGTTTGGTCACCATACCTTAAAAAGGACATTTCTGCCTTAGAAAGGGTGTAACGTAGGGCTACAAGAATGATGCCTGGTCTTAGAGGAATGTCTTATGAGGAGAGGTTAGCTGAGCTGAATCTGTTCAGCCTCAAGCAAAGGAGACTAAGGGGGGACATGATCCAGGTATATCAGATTCTAACAGGTCTGGATGCTGTTCAGCCAAATGGCTACTTCAATATTAGTTTAAATACTAGAACTCGTGGCCATAGGTGGAAGTTAGCGGGAGAACATTTTAAATTGGATTTGAGAAAGCAGTTTACATAGCATGTAGTTAGAGTATGGAATAGTCTTCCTGCTAGTGTAGCGCAAGCTAAAACCCTGGGTTCCTTTAAATCAGAGCCAGATAAGATTTTAACGACTCTGAGGTATTAGTTAAGTTCTCCCCAAACAAGCTTGATGGGCTACATGGTCTCCTCTCATTTGCAAATTTCTAATATTCTTATCCATCCATCCATTTTTTGTAACTGCTTATCCTATTCTTGGTCTTGGGGGGTCCGGAGCTTATTTTGGAGGCTACCGGTGCAAGGCTGTTAACAACCCAGGACAGCGTGCCAAACCATCACAGGGCACACTCGCACACCATTCACTCACACATGCACACCTATGGGCAATTTGGTAACTCCAATTAATATCAGCGTGTTTTTGGACTGTGGGGGGGGAAACCCAAGTACCTGGAGGAAACCCCACAACGACAAAGGGAGAACATGCAAACTCCACACATTTGGAGCCATGTAAGAGACTTGAACCGTGGGCCCAGACGCATGAGCTAACAGTGCTAACCACTGTGCTACCATGCTGCCCCACTTATTGCATATTGTGAATAAATTCACTTATTTGAAAGAAGACAGTTAACTATAAGACTTTTAGTGGGAAGCTCACACCAATAGATACTCTTAAGCAAGGCAATTTACCCGATTTGCTTCTGTAAACATGCACTCATGCTATCAGTATTTAAGTTTCTCTATATAAATGCACTTACATCTCCTCACGCTCTTCCACCTTCTTCTTCTTCTTCTTCTCTTTCTTCTTTGGTGGTTCCCTGTCTCCAAGCAAATTTTTTGGGCAAGCATAGCTTAAGTGCCCAGATTCCTTTTGCAGGTAAATAGAAAAGTTGGAGAGAGAGGAACAAGGTTAAATAATTGAACTATTTAGTGTACCAGAACCAAATAGCTACATGATACTACATAAAGACCTACCCCACACTCATAACATTTGGTCTTGTCCGTGTAGTTACGCCTCCTGATGAACTCAGGTGCCCTTCCATTGTCAATAGCAATGCTGGCCTTCACAGTTCTGCCAAATAGCTATGAGACATACACACATTGTATATATATATATATATATATATATATATATATATATAAAATCCATCCCTGCCCCAATGCATCCTTAGTTTGTTACAAAACACCAAAGGTAAGAGCTGACTTACCTGCTTATTGTTTAGAGATCGTGCACAATTGTGAGCAGATTCTTTGTCCAGAAAAAGCACAAATGCCACTCCTTTACTTTTCCTGGTCTCTTTGTCCTTCACAATCGTCACCCTTCAAAATAAATCTGCATGAACCCGCTCCACACATTCTACATTTCTTTATAGTCTTATATACTACTAGGAAGTCATAAACAACATTTTTGAAGGAATTCTTTAAGAATAGGTATTAAAGTATGACATTAAAATACTAGAGAAACAGCTATTGCCAAGTACTCACTTCACAACTTTCCCATATTTGGTGAACAACTGGAAGGAAAACGTAGAGAATAAAAAATCAATCTGTCAAACGTCAGATGACCCCATATGAAGACATTTTCTCAGCTTCATTTAAAAATAAATCATTTTAAATTTAATGTTAATTGACTGATGGCGAAAAGGAATGATAATCACAGCAGCAGGGAATTTACCTTGTGAAGATCATTATTGGTCAAAGAGAAGGGTAAATTGGATACGTAGACCGTGCTTTTACTTGGAGCCAAACCACCACTCATATTGGCTCAACTGTCACCGTAAAGGTTAATCTATGAGACATATACATAAAATAGTTTGCGTTGCTAGTGCAAAAAGACAAAACGTTGAAACTGTCTTGAGTACCTATCCCGCGTAAATCTACTGAAGCTTGTTTAAAATATAAAATTAATGGAGGCAGTACTAATAGCCAATTCAGACTGTTTACTAAAAAACTACATGGGGGGAAACGCAGACTAACACGGGCGTGTGGTGAATTTTCAATATGAAATTAACATAGCGACATGTTTTTGGGGAAGCAATTCAACAGAAAATGCTAAAAACTCAATGTGCCGATATTTACCATAAACAAAAGAAACAACTAACCTTACAAAGCCCACTTAAGAATTCTGTATTTGGAGCAGCATATTGCCTGTTTTTACAACTATCTTGTTTCGGAAGCTTTAACGACCATTTTAGTCGCCAATAAATGACGTAACGCGACTGACATCAGTGTCGTCGCATAAATATGCAGTAATAGTCATTTTGAAAGTGCCGTTAAAATACAGGCCAACGGCCCCAGAGATAATTACTTGGCAGTTTGATTATACAAACAAAATTGTTAGGGTGCGATACAGTGTGAAGAAATACCCAGGAGCTCGTTTTCGTGTTAAAACAGGTGAATCTATCCGGGAGTGGACATTTTTGCTACTAGCCAACTGGTCTAGTTCAGTAAAACATGTAGTCCTACATGCATTTTACTTGCCAGATGGCCAGTGTTCATGGTTTTATACTCGTCCTTATATTTACCTCAGGCGAGAGGACGAGCTTCATTTTCAACTTTGAACTTATCTTTATGTTAAATATTTTACTTTACCAGAACATTGGGATAGCGTTTGTGTTTCCATTACCGTTTTTTGCATGATAAAACATGGTGGTGTGGCCGGTGTTACATCCTGGCAACCCTCAGGGCCAATGACAGCCTTCTTCGGTAACTATTTGTCTAGTTGTGGTGATTATGAGGGTGGAACTTTACCCCGGGAAAGAGGGCAAGAGGCAAGGGAGCCCTGTAAGAGACAGCGGTCCATCCTGGGGCACCGACATAATGCTACGCACTAAGGGCGATTTACAAACACCAAGTCATCAAAAGCACATGTTTTCTGACTGGGTAAAAAGCCAGGCGAACATGTAGACAATATGGAAACCGCGCACACAAAGAACCAAGGGTACTATAACATTGCAAGTTGTGAGCCAGAAAGGTGCCCTGTAGCATGGAGATGGAACTCACAGTTCTTAGTACGCTGGAAATTTTGCCAGGTGAAAAGCTCTTTATTGTTCTAGTTAATAATGTAGTATAGTGATACTTTTATACAAAGGCTTGATGTTTTATGCATAGCGAGTTATTGTGTTTTTATGTACGCCTCTGAGCAGACCAAAACGGGCCTTTAAAAATTGTAATATTTTTGACTGTAAAGCCACGTTAGTAAATTCACTGTGCTGATAAAAAAGTTAACAGTTCCTGTAAGCATACAAAGTGGCGTTATTTTTTTTCTTCAATTATTACAATGTAAAAACGACATGAACACCATCAACAAATGACAGCAAATAAGAAAATAGAACAACTACAAAAGGGGACATGGCACATTTACAAATTCAACTGTTGATAGAACTCCACAGTTTTTACAGCTTAACAGTTGAATAGCACAGTTCAAGTTAAATTTTAAAAAGCTGTAAAAAAAAAAAAGTTTTCTATTACGAAGTTTTTGTTTATGACTGTGAAATTTGGCAAGTAAAATAACAGTATTCTTTTATTCCCGCTTTTCCATAGTCATGAAAACCAAGTAGCAGTTCTCTCCAGCACAGAACAAAATCACGGAGTATTTCGGTAATCACAGAAAGAGTTGTGGCGTTAAGTATTACTTAAATTACCTACATGTACAACACTCCCAGCGAAGCGAAATTGCATATGTGACGCTTGGGGTTACGTGCGCGCTGAGTACCGCCCACACGTTCACGTGGTTCCGCGGGGGAGGCGCTACGCTCTTGCGTCATTTTGCGCAAATCCGGAGCCTGTCTAATAAACAGCATGGCGACGGTGTTGCAGCGTCTCAGACTTGCCGGA